GAGAACCAGAGGAAAGGGGTGAAAATGGAGAAATGTCATCCCAAAATAGTGTCTCATAATTCCCTGACAACTCCCCTTGAATTCCTCCAGAGACCAGTTCAAAAACTTAAATTTTGGTAAGAACCATGATTGGGGGTCTCCAGGCAACAATTGTATCCGAGCCAAAGCACTCATGTAGCGGACACATTCCTCCATGATGTGAAACAGCCGTCTTTTTTCTAAGTGCTCTCAAAAACCGGGTTTCCGATTTCGTGCAGATGGTAGCTTGGAAAAGATGAATACACATTTTTGACAGAGGAAGGGAGGTCTCGATTCCCCTCTCCATTGTAAAGTGCAACAGGGGAGTGAAAATGTGTCCGGGGCTTCCGCCCGAAGCGCCGAAGACTTGCGCTTTTTTGAGCCCCTCCTCCGTTGGCACTTAGCCGTTTTTTCGAGAATTTCAAAAATCATGAAATAGACCGGGCAAATCACCTATTTGTAGCCCCTCACAGAGCCCCAAATGACGGATTAAGCAGCTCCAGCATCTCTCCCTGACATGTGCAAACAGGCTATGTCAGACTTCCATGAAATACACCGGGAAAAGCACCCATTTGTAGCCCCTCACAGAGGCCCAAACGACGGACTAAGCAGCTCCAGCATCTCTCCCTAACATGCGCACTTCCATAATATCGCACACCGTGAGACCCCGGGCCCCCGGACTTAAGCACTCCCCCACGGACTAAACCCAGATGTTCACACCCTCCAGAACCTCATGCCCCTGGAAACCTTAAAGGGTTGTGGATTTTGCGGTGCTTTACCGTCCGCACATCGGCATCCATAGTCGGCCTTATTCACAGCATCCCCCACCCTCCTGTACCGGATGTTTTCATGGCCCTGGTAACCTATAAGGTGGTGTATTTTGTGGTGCTTTACCGTCCGCACACCAGCATCAATATTCGGCCTTATTCACAGCACCATGCCCACCCTCCGGTGGAGGATGTTCTCATGGCCCTGGTAACACTTAAAGGTAATGGCTTTTGTTGTGCTTTACTGTCCGCACACCAGCATCAATATTCGGCCTTATTCACAGCACCACCTGCCCTGCTGGAGGTTCACACTTTAACTTTTTTTTGTACCCTCCTCTGTCTTACACATCCTCCCACACTTGAGCACTCCTCACTCGGAGTAAACCTCTCCATGCACACCCAGACTTCACCCAGAGAACAGGCTGCTTCACAGCACTTTGCAAGCAAGGAAAAGTGATTGAATCCTGGGTATACATGTTTTAAATAGTCTGATATCTCCAGGGTGCATCACCACATTTTACAAGCCAGGGAAGGTGCCTGAATCCTGGGTAAACATTGTTTAATTGTTCAAGTGTTTTTAAATGTGTGAAAACAGTGTTTTGTCACTTTCAAAACCCTCCCGTCATTGACCGGAGAAATTGGGTCGATGTTGTCTTCAATCTGACCGTTAATATTCCAATGAGACGAAGTACGTATGTTTCTGAAGATGCGTAGTGAATTCCACCCTTCAATGCAGCAGAAAGGTGAACTCTCATTACAGGAACAATACGGGAAACAGACGAAGGAAAGACCCTAAGTTCGCTGGATGTTTTAGCAGCAATGCACGTTTTTAAAGATATTACTGATTCTCTTTGAATATCAGAATGTAAAAACTGAGTTGAGAGAATAGTCAGGGGTTTTAGGTGATGGGAGACACATCTATGGAATCACAATTTCAATAGCTTACCATAAATGACAGGTATACCTTTCTGTCTGTGATGTTTTACAAATCAGATATTAATGTGTAGAAGTAAAACACGAGAGATAGTATAGCAATATCCTGTACAATTAAAAGCATGAATAAAACTACACATCTTCAGATGTTATACATACATAAGTGTCCTACACTAATAATACAAAGTTATTATTAGTATGCTGTGTGTACCTTGTGTGCACCACCTAGTGGTTAAAGCACGTTATTTAATTATTTTTGTTGAATAATGTTATTTTTGTTGAATAATGTTATTTGATGAAAACAATATTAAGAGTACATACTTTCATAGGGGGAAAGTAGAAGGTCTGTGATAGAAATATAGAATATAAAAAATCAAGAAGATACTGTAAGTGATCTCTATAAAACTGTTTAGTGCACGATGTACAAAGATATTAATATGAGGATGTGCAAAACAGACAAACTAATTAACCTTTATTTAAACATTAAAGAGTACTTTAGGTTAAGGTCTTATTTCAAATAAGAAAAAAGCTTTGGGTGTATCTATCTACAGATTAATATTAAGCCTGACAAAGTACTTCACGTCTAATATATTGCTTTCCTGCAATGTTAACTATGTTGAAGCACTTATTTTAACTGATATTATACATATGTATTATACTCTTATGTAGATAGAATAAGAAATGTGCAGAATATGACAGTTTAATGGTGGAGGTATTCACACATATTGATAGATGTCTTGTAATGCGCTGTTGAGGAACCTGTGACACAAGTTTTTCATTCATTGAATAACTACACCGTAGTTGTGTTTAATATGATATGTGAATAAAACTTAGAAAGTCTTGAGATCTTGAAAGGGATGTTCAAAATAGCAATTATACAGTCTTTAATGAACTATTAGTAGAGAATAACGAGTAATGATCCCTTTCATGCATAGAGGTCACTACAGTGGACAGCTGTTCAAAAGGTGTTTTCTTGTATGCATTGTTTTTGTTGCCCAGTTGCACCATCAGCCACTACATAGGACCTATCATCCCATCCCCTGCCACTCAGTGCCGAGTCAGTGTGAGTGCATGATGTCTCTGAACCAAGATGGACGGCAGAAAGCCACATGGACCAAGTCACCCATCTATATCCTGCCAACCCTTTCATGGAAAGCGCCCCCTGCAGGTATAACACAGGTGGTGACATCAAGTAACAACTAAGGAATCATAGAATTCATAAATGATCAAAGTATTGACTTTATGTTTGCAGGAAATCCTGATTAACCACCTCTCCACTACAGTGGAGTCAGGCTGGCTATATTACAGCTGCTGCTGTTCCCAGGGCCGTCCCTCCCTACAGGCAGACTGTGTGGGGCCACACCTTGTGGAGGAGGGGGCCACACCTTGTGGAGGGGGCCACACCTTGTGGAGGGGGCCTCACCTTGTGGAGGGGGCCTCACCTTGTGGAGGGGGCCTCACCTTGTGGAGGGGGCCACACCTTGTGGAGGGGGCCTCACCTTGTGGAGGGGGCCTCACCTTGTGGAGGGGGCCACACCTTGTGGAGGAGGGGGTCTCACCTTGTGGAGGAGGAGGCCTCACCTTGTGGAGGAGGGGGCCACACCTTGTGGTGGAGGGGGCCTCACCTTGTTCAAACCCTGAACGCATACTGTCCACCTGAGAGGACACATAAACATCTCTTTGAGAAACTAAAGTTCAAACCTTGTTTCCCCAAGAGCAATAAAAACACTTGGTAAAAAAAGCCTGACTGAGGTTTTCATAATTCAGGCATCCATCTCTCTATCTATAAACTCCAATGAGGGTCTGAGGTGGAGGAGAGCTTGGTGATCGTAGACGAGCAGAGACATTCTGACAAACATAAAACAAAAACAGGATAGCTAAAGGCAGAGAGCTGAGGGAGCGGCGAGCCGACACAGGCGCCATCTTCCCACATAATGTACTATCTATTATTAAAGATCAGAGGAACAGAACAGAATGAGAGGGGTGAATCCGGAATAACAATAAAGAAGCAAAGAGATTGTAGAGCAGTGAGAAGGAAAAAAGCTTGGTGTGTCAATTCATTACATTGCCAGTATTTTTCTTTGTTGTGAAAAAAAATAAATAAATCGCCCCCTCTCATTTTTTAACAGCCCCCTCAGTCATTCCATCCTGGAGCCGGGCCTGTAATATAACTATGGGTGTTTTATCAGAGAGATAACCACACAGCTAGTGAACTAGAACAGAAACAGGAAGTGGTTTTACTGTTCGGACAGAAGAAGAAGAAGAAGAAGAGTTGATCTCATTGCACGAGAAGAAGAATGAAGGACACATCTCTCCTGCTCTGTGAGTAACCCTGAACACATTTCATACTTAGAGATATTAAAGAGGGATGAAGAGTTTTGGTGAATAGATGCTTAAAAGTGGGGTTTTGTGTTCGAAAAACTAAATATCATTCAGCGAATAAGAAAATGAATACATAACGTGTTATTTATCATTAGGAGATTTTTTCTGTAGCAGCTGCAATACAATGAGGAAGATTCAGATTCAGTAGATAGTACAACATGTTATGAAAAGTACATTTAAATGTATAATGTATTTCTTAGGTTAAGGTGAAACTTCACAAACTACCCGGTGGTACATAAAGTAAAAACATTTAAAAAAAAAAAGATCTCCCCCTTATCCAGCCGCAACATTAAAGTGATGAACACATTGAACATTATCATTATTATTATTATTATTATTATTATGATATCACTCTGCACGATGAGTACTTTGATTCTGGGTATATTCAAAGTTATAATTAAAGTTGAAGTTAAGTGTATGATGCAGGCGTCGTACTGTGACAGAGTGTTTGCACACTGTGTTACTGCTTTACTGATATCTGGTTGTCTGGTTTGTGTTCAGTGCTGTCCTCCCTGTGCTGCTGCTCGGCAGACTCAGGTCAGTACGTTAACCTGCAGCCGGTCAGATTGGAATACATTCAACTTTATTGTCATTGCAATTCCACAATACTTCATTCAGACATTTTCACTTATTTTGCCTTTACTGCGGTTTGGATACAGCACAAGTCCATATTGTGATTTAGATAACATTATTGATCAAATGCAGCCCTTTTCACCATAACCATTTAGTTGAAGCAGTAAAACTCTTTCACTCTGCTGGATAGCCCAGTTCCTCCTGAGGTCAGCGTGACAGAAGCTAACGAGCTAAAGGGTTTATCAGTGACTCCATGCTGCTGTGAACTTTATTCTGGGACGGGTTTTATTTTTTAAGTTTGACTCAGAATCCAATAACTCCCTGCAGCTCGTCTCACGGTGACTCCCAGCAGCTCTCAGGTGTTTAGAGATGAACGTGTCTCTCTGAGATGTGAGGACGCCTCTGAGGGATGGACTGTGAGGAGAAACACGAGCAGGGACAGAAGAGCTGAGTGTGGAGTCGACTGGGGAAGCTCTGCTGGTTCCTCCTGTAACATCAGCTCCATGGACCCAACGGACAGTGGAGAGTACTGGTGTGAGTCCACAGAGGGATCCACCAGTAACACCATCACCATCACCGCCTCTGGTAAGATCAGCCTCTCTGTTTCCTCATCAATACTAAAAACACTTTTAAGAAGTTCATCAGAAAGAGGAAGCTGGACGACCTCAGAGCTGCTAGCTTGTGCTAACCACAGGGTGCAACACACACATTCTCACACACACTATCATCCACTAAAATACACCTCAGTACAGTCTCATACTTTAAAACATTTATTTTGTTATCTTATCTATTAAGCGTTCTCTTAATAGTAAAACTCCAGTCGGTCCTCACATGCATACAAACAAGACAACACAAACACAACACAGTACTGAAAACCATCATACCTGGCTCCGTTCTGATAGGCAGCTACAAAGGACAAAAAGGAACAAAATATTATAATCAATTTAATCAAAAAAATTGTATGTGAAATAAAAAATATAAAACTCTACAATTTCAATCTTCTTCTTATTGTTTTTGTCTGACCTGTTCAGCCTGTCCTCCTACAATAAACGACCATATAGGCCGATTGTTCAAGCCCTTATTACGACCCAGAGACACGTTTTAAAGTGCATGTTGTTTCTTACACGACCACTAGAGCACCTCTAGTGGTCGTGTAAGAACAACATGCACTTTAAAACGTGTCTCCCGTGTTATTCACAAATAACCCTCTCGGAAAATCCTAATTTGTGGAATAGTTTGGCCATTAAAAGCTTTTTGATTAGATTTCTGGCGAGAAGTGTATTTTGTACTTTTAGAATCCTCGTCCAGTCGATGTGTAGGATCTACAGTTTGATAGATATTATGAAGATGATTTGAGGTCTCGTCAGGATAACGTGTATGCAGCTTCCATGTAAAGTTAGCGTGGGTGAAAACAGTTTTTCTGGTCTCGAAGTTTTCACAATAAAACCGGATATACTCCCCTCACTGTCAAATGATTACACAGTGATATCTGCATTACTCATCCACTAAACAACATCAGTTGATCCTTGTTAATTACACAATATTGATTGGTTTAAATGGTGTACAATGCTTTTGTGTTTTTAACCTTCGATTCAGAGTTAATTAAGACACTACACTCTTCTTAAACTGTGTACACCCTGGAGGTTTAGGGGATACGAAACGCAGTGGTGTTTTCAAATGTAAAACATATCATTACTAAATGGGTGAATTCATATATACCCACATGCCAGCTAAGGTCAGAAGAGCTTTAACAGCTGGTCTTATGTCTGTGACCCCTAGGGTGACCAGATCCCAACAAACCAAATGTGGGACAAGGAGTATGGTTGTGTGGGACAATGTGGGACACCCTCTCAACAGCACCCAACCCCCCCCCCCCCCCGCCCCCCCGGAAAAAAAACGTAGCCCAAATATACTAATATAACAGCGCCCAGAAAGCTGACAGTTAAAAATACAGTAACCATTTTAGTATCTTAATAAAGAAAAGTCAAACTAAGGCCTAACCAAGGCTAGCAGGGCATTATTCACTTCAAGTGTTTAGAAATGCATCTTTTTAATCAACTAGTGCTATTACCTGCTACAAGTAGGCACAACATAAATTAATAGATAAAAATAAAACCATAAATACAAATCAAAACTGGCCAGGAGGGAACAAAAACATAATAATACATAAAATAAAATAGCTTTCAGTTTTGTCCATCATAGCAACAGCAGGTGGGCCCTAGTGACCCCTCCCTGCTGCTTCATTGATGAGCTGAAACATGCACTTGTCCAATGTTCAGCAGGCCACATTTTGCAAATATGGCAGAATCCATCGATCATCTTAAGATAAGATAAGAAGATATACTTTATGATCCCAAGTTGGAAATGTTTTTGTTACAGCAGCATACACTTTGTTCTACTCCACTACAATTCAGAGGTTAACCTGGTATTTTTACTCTACTACATTTATTTTAGTTCCTTTGCAGATTGTTGATTAATGATATGAAATATAAACACCCTTAAATCAGACTTTAGTTACACCTGAGTGAAATTCAGGGAAGGTGATTGTCAAGTGCCAAAATAAACGATGCAATATATTGGACTTTAAGTACTTTGTCAGACTTCATATTTATCTGTGGATAACCCCAACGTTTTTTTCCTTATTCAAGAAGACCTTAACTTAAAGTAAGTTAATGTTTAAATAAAGCCTAGTTGGTCTGTTTTGCATCCTCCTGTTAATATCTTTGGACGTCCTGCACTCAACTGTTTTAGAGATCACTACAGTGTCTTCTTCATATTTTATATTCTATATTTCTATCATGCCTTCTACTTTCCCCCAATTGTGTATGTAGGCTACTCTTAATATTTAAATGTTTCATCAAATAAAACGTATGCAACAACACTAAATTCAATATACGTGCTTTAACCACTAGGCGGCGCGGTTAAAAACCAGTGGTGGTAGTTAATAAAACATAATAATATCAAACATAATGTGACGATTAACTTTAAAATACCGTTTCAGTCTCTCGATGTGAAGCTTATGCATTTGTACCAATGAACCTGTATAGACCTGTAACAGTCAACAGCATGAGGAGTTGGAAAGGTAATAAATAATATCTTTAAAAACTACAAAAACATCCCTTTCTATCAGCGTGCACCGTTATGGTTGTAAATACAGCCTATCTACCAATTGGATCAAATATAAAAGTCAGCCGAATTAGTGTTGATACTGCAAGGAGACGTATTGTGTGAAAAGAAATGTAAGATGTTGTTTAATTGCTGATATATTTATGATCCAAACCGTGTATCACAATGCCGTTATGTGATGACTTCCAAAGAGAAAAGAAAAAACACTCGGAATAAAGTATTATTTTATTTAAAAAAAATGTTTTTCCGATTTCATATCACATGAACACCATATCCCGACTTGCATTGCGGCTAAACCAATCGATGTTTTAGCCTATCAAAACCTCTGAAAAAAGAAAGGTGTCTCTCAGAATCGCAAGAGAAAAACCTATGGGAAAAACACAAAAGCATTGTACACAATTTAAACCAATAGATGTCGTTTAATTAACAAGGATAAACTGATGTGTTTTAGTGGATGAGTACTGCAGATATCACTGTTAAATCATTTGATCATTGGTTTTATTTTGAAAACGTAGAGACCGGAAATACTGTTTTCAAATCATCTTTGTAATATCTATCAAACTGTAGATCCTACACATCGACTGGATGTGGATTCTAAAAGTACAATATACACTTCTCGCTAGAAATCTAATCAAAAAGCGTTTCAATGGCCAAACTATCCTACAATTTAGGATTTTACAGAGAGGGTTATTTGTGAATAAACAACCATCTGTAACGTTTGCATTCAACGGGAGCACTAGAGGGCGAAAACTTTAAAACGTAATTATAGGTCGTATTAAGCGCTTGAACAATCGGCCCATTTGGTCGTATGAGTTGGAGGACTTGTTGGACCTGTTGCATGGTAGAAACATGAAAAATAAATCTTGTTTTGCTCAAAGTTTACCTTTAGTGGGTAGATATACATGTATATTATATAGAGTTGATCCTGTCAGAGTAGATGTTGTTTCTGTCTCTTCAGGTATAGAGTTGATCCTGTCAGAGTAGATGTTGTTTTCTGTCTCTTCAGGTATAGAGTTGATCCTGTCAGAGTAGATGTTGGTTTCTGTCTCTTCAGGTCTAGAGTTGATCCTGTCAGCGTAGATGTTGTTTCTGTCTCAGGTTAGAGTTGATCCTGTCAGAGTAGATGTGTCTCTGTCTCTTCAGGTATAGAGTTGATCCTGTCAGAGTAGATGTTGGTTCTGTCTCTTCAGTATAGAGTTGATCCTGTCAGAGTAGATGTTGGTTCTGTCTCTTCAGGTATAGAGTTGATCCTGTCAGAGTAGATGTTGTTTGTCTCTTCAGGTATAGAGTTGATCCTGTCAGAGTAGGTTGTTTCTGTCTCTTCAGGTATAGAGTTGATCCTGTCAGAGTAGATGTTGGTTCTGTCTCTTCAGGTATAGAGTTGATCCTGTCAGAGTAGATGTTGTTTCTGTCTCTTCAGGTATAGAGTTGATCCTGTCAGAGTAGATGTTGTTTCTGTCTCTTCAGGTATAGAGTTGATCCTCTCAGAGTAGATGTTGGTTCTGTCTCTTCAGGTATAGAGTTGATCCTGTCAGAGTAGATGTTGGTTTCTGTCTCTTCAGATATAGAGTTGATCCTGTCAGAGTAGATGTTGTTTCTGTCTCTTCAGGTATAGAGTTGATCCTGTCAGAGTAGATGTTGTGTTCTTTTGTCTCTTCAGGTATAAGTTGATCCTGTCAGAGTAGATGTTGGTTCTGTCTCTTCAGGTATAGAGTTGATCCTGTCAGAGTAGATGTTGGTTCTGTCTCTTCAGGTATAGAGTTGATCCTGTCAGAGTAGATGTTGTCGTCTGTCTCTTCAGGTATAGAGTTGATCCTGTCAGAGTAGATGTTGTGTTCTGTCTCTTCAGGTATAGAGTTGATCCTGTCAGAGTAGATGTTGGTTTGTCTCGGTTTCAGGTATAGAGTTGATCCTGTCAGAGTAGATGTTGTTCTGTCTCTTCAGGTATAGAGTTGATCCTGTCAGAGTAGATGTTGGTTCTGTCTCTTCAGGTATAGAGTTGATCCTGTCAGAGTAGATGTTGTTTCTGTCTCTTCAGGTATAGAGTTGATCCTGTCAGAGTAGATGTTGGTTCTGTCTCTTCAGGTATAGAGTTGATCCTGTCAGAGTAGATGTTGTTTGTCTCTTCAGGTATAGAGTTGATCCTGTCAGAGTAGATGTTGGTTTCTGTCTCTTCAGGTATAGAGTTGGATCCTGTCAGAGTAGATGTTGTTTCTGTCTCTTCAGGTATAGAGTTGATCCTGTCAGAGTAGATGTTGTTTCTGTCTCTTCAGGTATAGAGTTGATTCCTGTCAGAGTAGATGTTGTTCTGTCTCTTCAGGTATAGAGTTGATCCTGTCAGAGTAGATTGTTGTTTCTGTCTCTTCAGGTATAGAGTTGATCCTGTCAGAGTAGATGTTGTTTCTGTCTCTTCAGGTATAGAGTTGATCCTGTCAGAGTATGTTGTTTCCTGTCTCTCT